GTCAGCATTAATGGAGGGCAGGGGATCTCCCACACCTGGACCTCCCTGTCCCGTAGCGGGCATGGGCGTCCCAGGGGACTGATAAAAGACCAGTGCAAAGTACCCATTTAATAGGTTGGCTTTTTCCTGGGCGTCAGTTGTCAGTCGCCCCATCTGGTTCAGCAGGGGTCCAATGTTGCCCTTGCTTTTCCTCCAGCTCCCCACATATCTGAAAAAGGACTTTTTATTGTCCTTGATGCTCGAACCTAGTTGGAGTTCAGTTGCAGCCTTGGCTTTCCTGGTTTGCTCCCTGCAGGACTGGACCAGTGCAGGGCGGCTTGTCCCGTGTCAGTATATCTATATGGCAGTCCAGCAGAATGGCTTTAAATAGAGCAGGAAAAGGACTCCATAGAAGAGTTAAAGAAACAGAGCAGGAGAATGATGAGCACTTGAAAGAAGCACAGGCAAGACTGCGGTCAGTTGTAACGTCAACTAGGAGTTGACTTAGAATTGCCATTGCCAGACGGTGAGAAATTACGTGCAGGTCACTTTTGAAGTGGAAGTTGTTAATACTGACCCTCTTTGTGTTTTGGAGCCTTATTCACTTGGGCCCATAAGTGTACAAATTCATTTCTTTTTTTTTTCAGTTGCTTGTATGGAATTAATACATTATTTTCTTCCCTGTGTACCAGCTTCGCTGACATTTGCATCAGGCTGTCTGGTTTCAGAATAGCATTTATCAGCTAATCTCATGTTGAAGCAGTCACAGGAGCTCAGATGGGACTGGGTAAAAGCTTTGTCTTGAGTGATTCCCCCCTCCGCTCCAACACAAGAGTTTGGTCTAAATGAGGATTTTCGTGACAGTTTTTCTTTTGCGTTCTGCAGCAAGCATTGTGCTTCCTTTGCAAATGTGAATGTTCAAAAATTGTAATGTAGTGGTTATAATACCATGCTGTGAGCATCTTGTTGGAAGTCAGAGTTGCTCAAGTCCCTGGTCTCCTCCAAGAGCTGAGCTCTGCAGCTGGACTGTATCTCTCATGAAGCACAGTGTTGAGACTCATTCTGTGATTGCCTTCTCTCATTGTATGAGACCCCACTACCGGTAACGGGAGACGAAACCTGGCCTATAACAGAATGGGTCACGAGGCACCTGGGCTACTGCAAGTACTACCTTTGCATTTTCAAATAGACATGATTTTACTTTTGTTGCTACGTTTTGCTGAAACTGCTTTTATTTATTTTTTTCCTATTTTCCATGAAAGTGACTTTCTTTTTGTTTTTGGCAATTTTTTTTGTGGGGAGGAGGGTTATTCTCCAGTCAACTCTGCTCACAGAGTGACAGTTCCTGGTCACATTGCAGCAGAATTATGGTGGTCCAAAGTGAATTTCTCTAGCCAAGGTATCAAATGTTGGGGGAGCAGCAGCAATTGTACAATCCTCTAGACTGAGCTAGAACTAAACCAAGTTTGGTATAGTGTGAGGCCTAAATGACAAACAGGGTGAGGTAAATGCATCCCTGGTATAACTCCATTTAAGTTCACTGAGAAAAAAATCACATATCACTGTAGTATAGCATCTCTTTAAACAGGCCTTATTCAGTCAGATTAAAAGTGTCATCACTTTTCTGTAGCTGTGCTAGGAAAGCTTTTCTCTGGAATCTGTGTTAGGCCTATTGAATACTGCCCCGTGCCTTCTTTTTTCATTTCCTGTGGTTATTTGTGAATCTTGCCCCTTTATGCATCCAGGAGCCAGTATTTCAAATTTGTCCTGAAATCCATGAGCTTGACTCGTTTTTTAATTGTCAGCAAGAGGGTTCCACAGACCGCACAAAATATGAAAAGAAACACTGACTTTGAAGGGGATGTGGAGGTGATGTGTTTGACTAGCTCTGTTTTATTAGGTGACTAGAATAAAAGCAACACACGAGTAGGTGCTACTGTGCATTTAGTCCCTCTTGTAAAACACCCACAGACACGTACAGCAGAGAGTTCCCTGGGCTGCCAAGAACAGCTCGATAGCGTTTTCCTCTGTGCAAGGCTTTGACTCGGCAGTTTTTCCAACCCAGCTATTATTTTACACAATACTTTTCTATCCCTTTTACAGTGGACAGCGGATTGTAGTGAGCAGCTAGATGGCAGCTGTTCCCCATCCAGAGGGAAGGGCTTCTTGGCTAATGAACGCAATCAGGTAGGAGACGTGCTTGGCTCTTTGTGTCAGAGCTCTTGCTTTTTTACTTTGCCATTCAGACCCACCGAGTCTTTGTGTTTTCCGCATTCCCTCAGTGACCCCATAGCTAAGGAGGGGTAACAGGAGTCAGCAGGAGCAGCAAAAATCAAGATAGCTTGGAGAAATAGCTTTCAGGTTATATCAATGTAAATACGAGTTCAAGACACTAGCATCTTTAACCTTTAAAGCCATTAAACTCTACGCACATACTGGTACTGTACTACTCACTGGGCATATCTACATGTGCTTATTAATTCACAGCAATAAGCTGCAGAGCTAATTGCTGCCAGGTGCCCGTCTGCACGGGCACCCGAGACTGCGGCACATTGAGCTGGGGTGGAGCAGCCCTGGCTGGCAGGTGACCCTGGGGGTCAGTGTGCCAGGCTGGGGCCGCTCACCCTGGCTCAGCGTGCTGCGGAGGGGCTGGCTGGAGCATGAGGGTGCTTCAGTGCGGGGCTAGCCAGCAGGCAGCTCCCAAACTGAAGCACCCTCATGCCCCAACCAGCCAGGGCAGCATCTACACTTGCACTACTGAAGAGTAAAAAACTCCATGGCAGGGTAGTACTTGTATTTACGAGCACTATCCTGCTGCAGAATCAATTAACTTACTCCAGCTTAATAGGGGTACACGTGTAGATGCTGAGACATTTACTGTGCAGCAAATTAGTCTACTGCACAGTAAATGTCTTGTGTAGATAAACCCAGTCAATGCTTATTTGTATTACTAGACTTTGAAATGAAGCTTTTCTAGGCTTCCAGTGCTCTGAACGCTGTAAGTCAGAGATGGAGAAGACCCCTTCAGGCCCTTAGCCCATCATGCCAGCAATGAAGTGTGATCCAAGGAAAGTGGGCTTATCTCTTTGCACTCTGAATTAGTTCCAGTTAAGCATCTGGGCAGATGCTGTCATGGGCGACTTTGTCCTGTAGCCACCTGGTACGAATAGTCTGTCACTGACAGCAACTCCTTCCTATTGAACACCATCATTGACAATGGAAATCCTTCTCCTTCTGAAAACTGCTCACTTTCAATTGAAGTTCATTTCTTTCTAGTAAAAGGAAGTTGGCATACAGGGTGAAATTTATTCCTGAAGGGCTTTTAATGAAATCCTATGTGTGAATAATTTGCAGTGTCAAAGTCTGGTTGTGTATATGAACCAAACCTGGGATAAGGGCCGGGTTTGAATTACACTCCTACTCCTGTGGGGGGTTGCAGCAGTGGCAGCTGAAAGTCAGAAGGAGCCGCCACCACCACCGCCTGAGCTGCTTAGAAAGGCTCAGAGCAGGCTGGGGTCTCTCGTCTCTTATGGGGGGGCTCAGCCCCTCTGAGCTCCCCTGTAATTCAAACCCTGGATAACAGAGTTGTGCATAGTTGTGTTTGACAGCAGGTGCCTGCTAGGATATGTGCTGATGTGTGTTGCTAGTAAGTATGAGTAAAATGTGCAGGTGGGTGAGGTATGGTGGAGAGGGTGCACCACAAACCAAGGCGCATGTGCAGTAAAGTAGAAGCAGTGGTAAGAGCCGAGTGCTGGGCGAATGTAGCATCTGTGTATCGGGAACAGAAAGGTGAAGTTGGGCATTACCATGCACAGGAGGTGTGTATCATGAACTCCGTCTCAGATGCACTTCCATTGCCTTTCCAAGAGTGCCTGTGTCACATCCTGTTACATCTGGTGTAGTGCACTTGGAGCATCTGCACTGTGCTCTCCATTGCAGTCCTCCGTAGCATGGTCCTTGTTGGTGGTGTTGCCTCTGATTTGTCTTCCTCGTTATGTAGGGAGTTAAAAGATTGAGGTAGCAGGAGAGCTAAATAACTCGGAAGTGGCTCCAGAGACAGTATCCTACAGGGTTCCTATTGAACCAGCCCGCCGGAGCAGATTGGCGCATCAAGGGAGGGAGCCATGAATGCTGTTCCCCACTGTCATGTCCTTCCAGATGCCACTTGCCAACCACAAAGCTGCACAGCTGGTTGTCTCAAAAGCATGAGATCCATTGTGGGACTGAATGCTTTACATACCATGGGGTATAAAATGAGCTAGAAAGGTGATATGGGAAGATATTCATCAACAAAAAAAGAGAGGCTGCTTGTTGCTAGTGCTCTCCAGACTGTGCTGTGTAGGGCACTGCCTGGATGCCGACCGGAGCTGAATTCAAGGAACTGCTAACCAAACTGCATCCAGCAGGCTCAGAGGATAGAGAACAGATCTCCCGCTGGGAAATTACTATGCAACAGAAAGATCCAGATATCTGGGAAAGGGGACTGAGAACATAAGAAGCATGCACGTGGTGGAAAAAGCCTGCTAAGCGCATGTCTACATTGCCTCTCTGCTGATCCCAGGTGCATCACATCAAGCAGTGGTTCCCAATCAAGGTGCCAGGGAACCCTGGGGTGCCGTGGGATCCTTTGAAGTGCGCAGCAAGGAGTGAGGCGATAAGATAGATGTCAGGATTGCAGGCTTACTCTCATCCCTACCTGGCAGTTTCCCCCACCCCCACTACCTGGCCCCTCTGCAAGAAGATAAGCACTGTAATAAATAAGTTAGTTATTGAAAAGGGGTGCCCTTATATTTGCAAAAGTTATGGAAGCATGCACTGAGTTTATTGCAGGGTGCCTTGTATTGAAAAAGGTTGAGAAATACTGACCTAGAATCATGCCCTACTGATGTGGGGCAACTCCAGGTGCACCAAATCCTCTAAAATAAGGCCAGGTTGTTTTGGAGCAGCCCTAAGCCATGTCATTGAACCCACTTTGGGGCAGGGAGCCTGAGAGCAGCTCTGAGCGTGCTCCCAGTGGTCTCTACAGCCGCTTCATTGCCTTGTTGCTGGCACTGCGGGCACAGGAGGGAAGCGAGGGGTGAGGTATGCATCTCAGTAATCATCCTGAGCTCGCCATGGAGGCAGCGTACATAGGCCTTTAGTTGGATTATGTGCAGAGGAAGGAGGAAAGCTTGTGGGGGTGGAATGAATATCAAGGTGCATAGTAAGATTTCCTTGTAGGCAGTTTCAGTCGTTGTCACTTCAGTTGGGCACAGCCACCGGCAGGGAAGGGAGGCAGTCGAACTGACTGCGTGTAGGAGGTGCCCAGGTGATGGTCTCCCTGATAGGTGCAGTCTGTGCTGCAAGAAAGTCTGAGAAACCCTGGTGCAGGCGGGGAACCTGTGCAGGACGCTGTCAGGTGCTGCCTGGAGGTTCAGAGTTTATTGCCCCGTTCTTTCCTAGGCCCGTCACTGCGGGCTGCCAAACAGGGTCTTCTGCATATGGCCTGTTCTCTGCGCGCACAGCGTGCAAGCTCTCCAGCAGGCCTGCTGACCTGCTCACCCCCAGGGGGGAAAGGTGGATTTTCTACAGTTTGGTGCATAACATTTGTACGATTGAGCTCGGCCCAGTTAAAATTTGGAACTGATTTAGCCTGGGAAAAGAAATGAAAAAGAAAAAAAAATACTCTGGTGATGACCACATTTACACTTCCCCCCCGGGTTGTTCCCTGGCTTTTTGGCTAGGAGAAAGCAAGACTAGGGGGCATCTGAACCCTAAAGCCTCTGGGCTGGCATGTAGGATGCCTGCCATGGGCTTGCAGAGGATCCAAAGCCCAAGATTGGTGGGTTTAGGTAGGAAGATGCTTGCCCAGTGGCAGAGCCAAGAATGCAGACTTGAACACCTGAGCTTTGCTCAGTCGAAATTTGGACCTCGCCTGCTGGGCCTTCCTGATAGAGTTCAGGACTGCTTTGGCCCTTGAAACAAAATTAAAAAACCCCAAACTCTGGTGGTGAGGTGCATTTCAGAAAAGAAACAAGCACAGGAAAGCAGCAAAGATGAGGCCCAGCGAGCTTATAGCAGAAGACATACTGCGGAGAAGCTCAGCTGTAGATGCTTATTAAAGCCTCTGAAGGTGGCAAGCACAATGGTGGATACAATATACGGTAGCTTTGATCTGCAGCCTCCTGGCCACTGTGAAATATTCAGCAGCGGGTCCTCGATAAGAATTTTTTCCCCCCTCCCCTCTTGCCTGAATCTCCTCTGAACGCCGAAGCTACTTTGAATTCAGATTGGGCTCTGGCTTTTTTCACTAAGCCCGCTCGGCCTGCTCAGGGTACGAAGAGGATAGCATTTTCTCGCCGAAGGATGTCGCAGACTCGCCTCCTTAGCCTGAAGCAGACAAATAGCGAGGCTGGTCGGGCTCAGCTGCTGTGCTGCAGGTCTGTGGGTGGATCTGTAATGCAGAGAGGAGGAGGTCAAGCATAAGCGATGGGTTTCTTTCTCAAATCAGCGCAGCGCTGACATCTTTCATCTGCCGTGTGTTTTGGTGCGGTCTTGGAGGGGGTGGTGATGCACCTTTTTGATCTCTTCCCAGTGGGATCTGGTTTGGATAAACAAACAGCGTTCATGTGTGTCCAAGTTGCCCTTTCTGATCTGCTTTCATTGCATTTGAGTTCTCTCCCAGGCAGCACCCAAGCTAATCATGATCCCTCTCCACTTTCAGCTTCTTTTAATGAGTGGCGACTTTTCCTTGGCACCTAACAGGGAATTGCTAGCTATTGTTCTTTCTCAGTCCCCTCTTTATTACTAATTAGTACTGCAGCGCTGTTGAAGAAGATGCGGCTCCATTTATTGTTGTGGACTGTTGACTTTTCCCAGTAACTAAATAGTTTAAAAGGATGCATTGTGGAAGGGTGTTTTGCTTTTCATGTAAAACATCTCATCATTATTGGTGCTGCCAGAGAAGCGTGTTTGTTGCTCACAAAAACCAGTGCTGAACAAGATTTTGGATTTTGGATTTTTTTCCCAAGATGTTGAGGTTTCTGTTCCCTAAAAGGGGGGGGGGGGGGGGCTTTTT